ATAAGGGAGTATGCCGTACGGAGAGCTCGCGAACCGCTCGCCCTAACATTCGGAGAGAGGAGCCGTACGAAGGCTACAGACGAGCCGGGATTCGCGTAAGATTACGTTTACGTCTTGTATCTTCAGTAAAAGCGACAAGGGAGGTGCAACGTGGGTTTTTAGTGGGCACTCGATATCGGGGACTCTTAACTTTCATGGTGTCATAACGGCATAAATTTACTAGTTATGTTTTCATGTGACCAAAGTTAGGTAACCAATTGCTTCAAGTGAGTATTTAAATTTCGAAGTATTAGAAGCTGACGATTCAAAAGCTCAACTAGCACACGAAGTTTTCGACTTCTGTCTTCTGAGCTGCGGATCGTGGGTTCTATTCCCATCAGAAAGTTGTAATGTAAAGAAAACAGTTTAGTAAATATTTTTTTCGGATCTAGTGCCTGGTCTTCATTTACTTTGTTTCCATGAAAGGATTATGTACAAAGCATTTATGTTGATTAACAGTACCTCCTACTGTAAATCAACATAAATGCTCTGCTCTAAAGAAATACCAATCAAGCTAAATTAAAACTTCAAGGCAAATTGTATCACCCAAATAGTTTTTGAAAATATAATATAAGAAAATAAAATAGTAAACAGATTTTAAGAAATAGAAATAAATTTTATCTAATTAATGCGCGAACGAATTATGGAAAGTAATCACTTATATCATTTGAAAAAGTACACTTGTATGACAAATTACATAATCACATTAAAGAATAATAGCATAAATATGCATAAGAATACAGTTAAGCAACATTTAACATAACCGCAAGTGCCAATGGAGGATTAATATTATTTGTATTAATCGTACTAGGATCGGTGTTATTTCGCGAGAATTTTTGGTTTGCTATGTGAAAACGTTATCTAATTAATCATTTGGGTGGTCTATTGTGTGATTACAAACTGATAACGAAAATCCGCAAAATCTGTTTAACTTTCTTGTTACATATTGGAAATAACAAAGCTTTAGTTATTAACATTACTTCTTTGATTGTGTTAAATATAATATGTTGTCCGTGCTTTAACGGGTGAAATTCATTTTAATGGTTCAAAAAAATCTTGTATCATTTTTTTAATAAACATTCACCGAGTGCTTTGTGATTTTTAATGATACTTTTGCATGTCAACTCTATAGAAAAAGGCGAGAATAAATAACAAATATTGCCAAAGAATGCGAAATGGAATAAAAATTCTGTAAGCCGAATATCGAATTTCAAATCAAAAAGTCCTGGTGGCGAAGAAATTTTAAGCAGAGGCACAGTAAAAAATTACATATACATGTATCGGAAATGAATGATTTTTTATATGAAATGGTCATATTTATATTGTCCCTTTACGTAGTAATTGAGCAGCAATCGATCTTCGCGTAGAGATTTTACGGCACGTGTGTTCCTTCGGCTTGGAAATGAAGGATAATAATATATAAAATATTATATCCTATTATAGATATATATTCTTGAGCTTACTTTACTGCATTGATTGCCAATAATTGGAATTATATGCGAGCTAGCCACCGGCTACTTGTACGGATATATAATTCAGAGTAATGTAGGAACAATCATTTTGCTGTCAATCTATAACGATTGCTTAGTTTTTTTATTTTATTCCTGAGCCCGAAAGCTTTCAACGAGCCGTATAGGGGTCAATATCTCAAACATCCATTATCACATCGCTTGCAAACGAAGCAATTATAAAGACTGTAGCGTAATGCAAATATGACCACATCTGCAAACAAAATGCGGGCGCCTGGCCCTAACGACTTAAATTGCGATTAAGGGCAGCTGACGCTCGACTTAATTGTTTCAAACTGCATTATAATTATGCTAAATGTTATTAAAATAGCTGAAACGTTGCAAGTTACTATGGCGCCTTTATTCGCTCTGCCAATAGTCAGAGCCAGTATGCAGTATAATGGCGTTATTAACGATACGACTGCGATAAACTGTCATATGAATTAGATCGTAGAAATTAGTTTGTTTGTACGTAATGGTTAAATTCTAATACTTATTTTTTTTCCTTAATGAAAACCCATTATATCGTATTGCTGGAAATTTTAATTTTTTTATTAATTCGGATGAGAAGGAAGGGAAGAAGAATTGTCAATCGCCTATGTTGGCTGTCAAAATACGATAAAGTATTAGAGCGTTGTGTGTGCAATTGTACATGGTCTACTTGTGTACAGCCAGAGCAGCTTGCTCGCTTTACTTGTACTCTATGACAAACTACTACTATTGACTCTATGACTATTTCGTCTCGAAACATTCTGCACTTAAATAACTAGAAAAGTTCGGGTAAAAAGGTATCAGGTGTCTCGTCGAGGTAGGAAGCTTCTTTTCTGATTAAATAAGTGTAGTGTGTGTTATTCCATTTCTAACGCGTCTTCATAGGCATGTGAAAATATCCCATGCAAAAAAATGAAAGAGTTTAAATTGTGAATTGTTATTAAAAATTAAAGGTTACCGAACTGTCAGGAGTGGCAATTTTCATAAACCTTATAATTTATAACTTCCGTCCTCTATGCTCTCCGATATTTAATCCTTTTGCTTGCCAGTAATAAAAAGAGAAACACTAATATATTTTACCCGAGAGCCTATTCCGTACAAGAACTCATCGTAAATTCCACTAGCTCCCGGCAGCGTGGAATCGCGACAGCCATTATCACTTCAAAAAACTAAAAAGAGCCACGCGGCTCCGTCGCCGCCGCGGTGCGGGGGCAGTGGGAAAAAAAAACAAAAACAAATTTAAAAAATCGAACTGTCAAAATGGTTCGCGGTAAATATTGCCGCTGCTCGGCTGGCGCCGGACGCGATTGGACGGCGAGGGCGGAAGGCGTGGTCGGTCCAGCCGCTAGTTGATTTATTTATGAAGTGCATTTTATTCTGCACGTACGCGTATTTATGTTGGTGGGTGCAAGGCGAGTGCACGGACAGACGCGGCGGGGGACGGAGATGCGTATCGTTACGTTGACTTCGCATATTTCTCCATAGTGACAGCACCTATACGATGTGAACGGGTTGGGTCGACCCCGCTAGTGGCCTCCGATGACGTATAACTTGTCTACGGCTGTCTGTGGGTGCATATTTTTAAATACAATTAATGTTCTGTGACTTAAGTTGTTCTACGAAGCTATAGTTGCGTGCAAGTTATTTCGCTATCTATTAAACGTGTCATAGGCAATGACTTAGATACTTCGTCCAACTTATAACAATAAACTATGTATCCTAGCGCCTTGCTGATGAGTTCTGTGTTAACACCTTCACCATCCGACCTACACAAATCTTTGGAATTCCTTCCCGGTAACGTTAGAAATGCAACAAATAAGGCCTCTTTCCAAAGACTGGTTCAGGAACACATGTTGAAGACAACCATTACTAAGACTTAAGGTAAAAGCATTATTATAATATGTAAAAAGCTATTTATATAAACATACATACTTTATTGTGTATATTCTCGTATTATCTGAAATGTTAGTTTTTACATATTCCTCATATTCATATGCATATATACCATCTTACATTTATTTTCCTTCTATACATAAGGTTTTGTAACTTTAGCATCCCTTCCCGCACCTACCATAAGTTGTCACTTCATCCTGTGTTGACTGGTAGAGAATGAGTTTAGGTATCAAGTCCGCCTTTTGTTAGCTTTTTTATTTAAGGTCATAGATAAATTATAAATAAATTTATTCATTCATTCATGAATAATAAGCATATTTTTATTACACTAAAAAAAAATTTGTTGATATAATTTAAAGTAATTGTTTCGTATTTATAAGGTACCTATTAAGGATCTAAAGTAATGTAAACGATGTTTTCTGTATTTTTTCGGATACCTTACTAAACTTATTCATTATACTAGTAGTGTGGTCAAACGTTCGACCAATGTTACTATGGTATGGCCTCTGTGGCCATTGCTCGACAAACGTGCGGAGATATCAGTTTTTATGTTCACGAGTTTTATGTCACCCGATACAGGTTTGCTGGGCGGAGATCCATTTGAATTGCTGATTTGAAGCGTGCATCGTTTAAAGTATAATTTCGCTTTCAAACTTTAGTGCATAATAAAAACATTTAACATATAGTTATTGCTTATAAGAAATTATAACCGCCATTTGATTTTTAGTTAAGAAAATAGTGTTAAAACGTGATGGAAGAATAAAAGAGAATAATGAAATAGAAAATGATATAATTTATTGTACTTATGTTTTTACATTTAATCAATAGCTAAATATAAACCGTATATAAGGAAGAATGTGAGTTGTAAGCGCTCAGAACTTGTCTGCTCGAGGCTGAAACCGAATTCTTAAGTCTAAAATCGCTGTTTTAGACCTGGTACATGTTTACTGTTACTTTAATGCTATTCAATATTTCGTTATTGGATAGGTCAATGTTAGAGTTATACAAATGGAAGCATACCGACTGATAGTGTCAAACGCGTGGATGCAGCCGTTTCTATTTCTGTCAACTCGACTGTGACGAGAGATAATGGAACATTTTCGGAGTCGAAAAGCACTGGCCACAATGTTAAGCACTAACATAGCTTAGATATAGAAAATAAAAATAACATAGCTTCAAAGCCGTTAATGCAGCTCTACATATTTCCCTGTACCTATTCTAGTTTAAAGGTGTAGGATGGGTCTAGATTTCACTAATTTAATGTGGTAGTATGCAAGTTGGAACGAACACTGGCTTTTGCTGCGTGAATCATTAGAATTGAACACGAACAGTGAGGAAGCTTTTAGGTCGCACTAAGTATAGCCTGGGTTGTCACCACTGGCATTCGCTAACGACTATAGCTATCTCTGTCTGACTCATAATGACAAAAGAGTGATACGAGAGAACAAACTACAGTTACCGCATCAGGGTCTCATGAACATAGAACGCTAGAGTAAAAATCAGCAGCTGAGTCTAATTTTCCCAATGCGACAAAGTCGCGAGAGCCTACAGCCAATATAAAACACTCACCTGGCTCGTCGACCTTGTAGGAGACATCACAGGAGCCATCCTTCCTGTCCTTGAAGTCGATCTCAGCCTTGCTGGGCCCCTCCAGCGAAATGGCCAGCTGTCCGGCGCCAGCCTCCCTGGTCCATACATTGAACTCGTTGAAGCGTCCCGCCTCGCCCCTCTCAAGGCCAGCACCGCCGGCCTTCACCAAGTGCGCACCGGAATCCCGGAGCGGACCCACGGTGAACTGGAAGGGGGATCCTGGGGAAATTATGAATAGCATTGGATAGCTGGACAGCTAAGAATCAGACGATTGAGTCAAGAAACCTATTCAGCTGACGTTAGAAAACATTACCAGATTTCGTTCCAATCAACTTTGAAGAGGCTGTGCACAGTTTTTTCCTGTAACCGATTATGGGGAAAAGTATGATGTGGATTAAATTGGTTTTCAAATGAGAAGTCAACGAAAATATGTAAAAACTTTCTGAGTATGGTAAGTTGGCTTTTAAGTAATCTGGGTGAGGTCGGCACAAAATGTGAATCATGTTGTCATATTGAACCCCTGTTTTGCCTAAGGTTTTGTGACCGGCCTCCTGCCTGACGTGAACCCCTCCTTGGGAACAAACATCTAGATCCGGAACAATTATTTAAGGGTCACACAAATACTTGTCCCGTGTGGGAATCGAAGCCATGACCAATGGCGTCGAACTCAGAGCTTAGCAACTACGCTACTGAATCACCGCATTTAATTATACTCAGGTACAGTCAGGTAAAAAATAAAAGAGTATACGATCGATCATATAATTTAAATGTTACAGGGCCAGCTTTAATTACTCTTAGTCTGATCTACATTACTACTCAAAAATCTCATCTAATGTCTTCAACTAAAGCGACCTTCGCTTTACACCGAGGTTTAAGAGGCGCTATTCCTCATGTAATGTTATATACAGCCCGAAAATCTCTTCCAACCTCTAGTCATTACTAACCTAAACCTAGCTATGGTACTTAAACTTTTTTCTTAGTTATATGACCTTTTCTGGCTGTTATATCATCTAATAGCTGATGAACTCTTAAGGGGAGTATGAATACTATTTTAGTTATAGCTCTCAAACTGCTGCATCTGCAACTATTACCACTCACCGGGAATGTGGATCTCCCTGTACTTGACGGACACGGTGTGAACGCCCAGCTCTTTGGGGACGAAGTGCACCGAGTACAGGCCATCCTCCACCTCCTGGATCTCGGCGTCCTCGGAGACGCCACCTGGGCTGGTGACGGTGGCGGCCAGGTCGAATGACGTGATGCCTGCCGACGAGAAATAGAAAGATAAAGAAACGTCCATAAATAGTTGTAGGGCTAACAGCAGCTTCTACTGTTGTTTAACCGCCAGCTCGTTTGCCAACTCGTCCATAAACAAGTGTAATGTAATTTAAAAAACTAAAAAACCCATCTGCGTTTCTGTGTAATTTTTTATTTTGATATACCCAATGTCACTCTCACAGTAAATACAAATCTAACGACAACTCTCAAGCTTAAATCCATCATGCCGTTCAGGCTGCAAAGCGTGCCAAACAATTAAACATACATACATACATACTCTCGAAAAACCTAACCCTCCTTCTGGCGCAAACGGGTAAAAAAAGTATGTCGCAATTACTATGCGCAGTTGATCACTAGTAAAACAAAGATGATTGTTCCAGATCTGGTTCTTTCTTAAGCTCTAGAAGACAGCATAATCATTCAATGTATAAGAGACAGCTTTGCTATAGGAAAACGTTATAAGCCAACAACTTAATGTACAATTTATATTAAAATAATTTCTTATAGTAATAAAATACATTTAACAACAACATTACAACAACAACAATGTGTAACATTAGATTTTTACGTAACCTGCATAAAATGAATATATTACGATGTTCCTCTATTACTGGTACTATACTTACTACAATTATTTAGGTACACATTTAAAACAATTATGCTGTGTACTTAAAGCAAAAGCCCAAGCTAACTATAACTCGAAATTCGATTTTGAAAATTCTTAGAATTATCAAAATCATGTTTTTTGGAGGCCTATGATGCAAATGATGTCCAGTAGAACCTTAAAATTTTTTGTCACCAGTGGTATAATTGTAACCCTGTATGATGCTACATCCTTTCTTATAATATAAACATCGTTCTGATATCCACAAGTAACAAAAATAAGCGCTTATGCAGAGCAAAGTCAACTTGTAGGTGTCACATGTGTAAAATAATAGTCACCTGGCATTTTGAACGTCAGCTTGCAGTTGGTACCGACTTCTGTAAGAGGTGCAGGATCGCGTTGCCGCTGGATCTTTTCCCTCTGCCTGTTGCTGCCTTCGCCTGATACCTGGTCCAGGAAATGAACAATCAATAGTTGTGTAACAAAGCCGTGATATCTCATTGTCAGGCGCTCGCTTTTCACTACATAGTAAAAAACAAAGTCGTCCAGCTGTCTGTCTGTCTCTATTTATGCTTAGATCTTTAAAACTACGCAACGGATCTTGATGCGGTTTTTATTACTAGATAGAGTTATTCAAGAGGAGGGTTATATGTATACATTGCACCCATGCGAAGCCGTGGCAGGTCGCTAGCAATTCAATATACTCGTGCAACCCGAGTTCGATCCCCGGTGCCGGTACATGAAATTGTTAATTTTAAGTACTGACTTATCACGTGTTCACCGGTGAACGGAAACATCGTGAGGAAACCTGCATGTTTTCGAAATAATAACAAAAGAACATAATTCGAAGATATGTGTAGTCCGCCAATCCGCGGTGGGGCCGCGTGGTGGACTATGCCATGATACCTTCAGAGAGGGCCTTTGTGGTAATAATATTTAGGCAGTCAATCTCCTCTTTTTAGTGGTGTATAGTTCTCTCCACAGAGGAGGGTGTAAGCGGAAGTCTTCCGAATCTGTACTACCCAGTCGACCGAGCGCTTCAGACCTCAGAAGACGCTGCAGAAGGTAATGCTGAAATTTGTCACAGCTACAAAGACTACAACACCGTAGACAATGATTGGAAAAATTAGACGACTGTACACTATCCTGTAACAGTCCTTTTTTTGGTATGAGTGTATATAAAATTTCTTCACGTGACGTACCATCAATGCTTTTGATACAGTCAGTATGTAAACGTAACCGATTACAAAAAGAAAGATATCACCCTCATGTTAATCCGGTATATTACAAGTTATTTCTATTTAAAACTTTGATGACTCCGTGGCGTTGTTGCCAAGGTATTGGCTTCGGCGTCGGGGTCGTGGGTTCGATTCCCACACGGGACAACTATTTGTGTGGCCCACAGATAGTTGTTTCGCATCTGGGTGTTTGTCCGCGTGAAATTTATGTTTGTAAAATGTCCTTACAACACAGGATAATGTTATCCTAAAGTAAGGGCAATGTTAAAAAAAAAACGATGTGTCATGGAGAAGGAAAACAGCTTCGCCATTTTGCCAATGAGAAGTGTAAGTGACAAGATGCATCCGCTGTCTCTTTCTAGACAGTCAGTGTCACACTCACCTTAACAGTGAACGGGGAGCCCTCGACGTGGTGGTCGGCAAACTTCAGGTTCACGATATAGTATCCAGGCTCCGTTGGCTTGTAGCTTATAGCTAGGACGCCATCTTTGCTGTCTGCGCACTGAATCTCGGCCTTGCTGGGCCCTGCGTGTTTTTTTTTTATTATAATTGTTTTAAGATTCAATCAATCAAATATCTTTATTCAAACAGACGCTTGCGCATTCTTATGGATCGTCAAATTTTACACAAAAATTATATATATTGATTCGTAAGGTACTATTTCCATTGCAATGGTGAGATGGTTAATTTGCATGCGATGCAAATTGTGGAGAAACCAGATATTATTCAAGTGATTTTGTGACGAATCTTAAATCTATTCCTACAGGAAAAGTTATACCAAAGACGCGCAAATAGAAAATTTATTAAATTACAGTTATGTAATCGGGTAAAACTTTAATTTTAAGCAAAATTGCTTTAAAAACTCTGACAGATATGCCGTCATAAGTTTCGAGTTGTGAGATCTTTTAAATAATAAGTCGAAGTATACTTAATACAGTGCAACGAGTGCATGTGGCAGGTTTCTATTGGCTAAGTAAGTGATTAATTAAATTCCATACTTTACCTTCAATCGACAGTGAAAGACCACCGTAACCCGCATTTCTGGTGTCCACACTGAAGGTGTTCTCACTGTGGGTCTTGCCTTCCTTAAGGGCTGTACCGGACACCTGGAATTCAGTATTTCTTTTTATCGTGAACCATAAAGTTTTATTATAGTATGTAAGAAAAGAGAAAATATCTTTTCTTTTCTCTATAACAAACGATGCCAGGCCTAGCCAATAACTACAGGATAGCGTAGAAATTCACATCATTGAAATTTCCTTAATTTAACAATTAACATTTCTTTTATCTTTGAATGTATTAAGACTGATTGGAGTGGTAACCTTTTTCCTCTATTCTTTATTACTCGATATATGACTGAGAAGAGTTTCAGATTTTAGGAACCCCAGACCTACCTTAACCTTCTTTGCGTCACCGACTTCCTGGTCCAGGACGGTGATGTTGAAGGGCGAGTTCTGGATGTGCACGCCCAGCTTCTTGACGGAGACAATGTGTTGGCCAGCCTCGCGGGGCGTGAAACTGATGCCAATGTTGCCGGATGGCAGCCTCTTGAGGAAACAGGGTTCTTCGAGACCAGAGGGAGCCTGAGAATTAAATGAACCATATATATTATAGATTCCAAGGTATTCTTTTGATTGCCTTTGCGACTTTGAGAAGCTTAATTGTTTTTTTTTAACGTATGGTCCGTGAAAGTTATCATTTAAAAAAAAACTGAATAATTGGAGATCTCCGCCCTCAGACTTCCACTTCTTCTACTGAATTTCAGTTATGTCAATCACAGGAAGAAATGTAAAATAAATATTAATATTTAACATTGGTCAGGTTTTTGTAATAATGATAATAAGAAACTTCACCTGAGCGGTATGAGTGAAATAATTTTACAGATAATGTTATTAAGGAAATGTGAGATGTACGTGTTAAATGTGTTAGTATTCCAAAACACTAGTCTTGAATGTTATTGCATGATATTTGCAAGCCACTGAAAACACTTTAAAAGATATTATTGTACACACGCAAAGCCAGATAAGTATTAAGGCAGCTTACGTGTTTTGTTTTTGTCTTTTTTAATAATTCATTTACAAAATGGTAAAAGCTTGCTTACCTGGATTGATGCGTTGAGGCTTCGGATGTCATTGTCGCTGACCTTCCCGGGTAGAGTGACCTCGCTGCAGCTACCCACAGAGATCTGGTTCCTCTTGCGACCTTCTCCAGTCACCTGATAAGGAGAGATCACGAGCATATTATTACAGCTTTTTATCTAATATCGCCAATTACTTTTTATTGCAATCATCTATAGTTGGATATAATGACATATATATTTTCGTAAAAATTCTTCAAAGATCATGTTGTTTTTCTAATATGGTATTTTGGCATTTGCCAAAATTCCGTTTCATTTAGGTCTGTTCATGATTTTTTCAAGCTAACATTGATTTGCAGAAATCGTTCCGGCAAGAAACCTTAGAATACAGACTTATTTTAAGTTCTTATTGAACGTCATAAAACTACCACAACTTAAATCTGTCTCTTTGATACCTTGGCGGTGAACGGGGATCCCTTGATATGTTTGTCTCCGAACCTCACAGAGACCTTGTACTCCCCTGGAGCTGTCGGTAGGTAGGACACGGCAACAGTGCCATCCTTGTTGTCGTGACAGGTTATCTGCAACATTTTAGTGTTAGGATGATAATGACAAACTGTCGTGATTACCGATCGATTACGTCTTATGCTTATATATGGCTTATGTAGTAAAAATATCAAATAACCGCTTCATACCGAGTACCTACTCTTTATGAGGTTGTTAATGAGCTCGGATTCTTCTGCATCAACGTTCTATTCATGGGTATCGTAAATAATCAGAATTCATTGTGGTGACGTTTACGTTTTCTTTTCTTTTCCCTATCTCACCCTTGAGGACATAGGCATTAATCACAAGATTCGTTGCAGTGCGAAAGACAGTGTAAGACAGGTACGTCTGGCCTCGAGTGGCAGCCTCGCATTAGCCATCGTAATGTAGGACAACCCCCACTAGATGGAGTGACGACGTGTCCAAATGTGTGGAGAGTCGATGGATGCAGGTGGCTCACGATCTTGCTTCGTGGTGGTTTATGGGGGAGGCCTATGTTCTGTGGTGGAATCAAACAGGCTGAAATGATTATGATGATCCCTGATTGACATATTTTGTAATCATCTCTAATAAACGCCTTTTCAATTTTATTTGATTTTATCTCGAGAAAGTTATAAAATCAAAAATTACCCTTTAAGATGTTGATGACCCATACAATATTACAACTGCGAAATATACACAATTGAAGTCGTCGATATTAACATATTTTGTATTGTATCATGAAAAAAGGCAAGCCTGGTGGTTCATACTATACATATACAGATAAACGCAATAGTAAATCACCTCAGCTTTGCTGGGACCCTCCACGGCCATTGACAGTCCACCGGACCCAGCTCCCTTGGTGCTGATGGTGAACTGGCTGGGCTCGCCGCTCACGCCGCTGACTAGGCCCGGGCCGTAAGCCGTGACATACCCGGACTGAATGGAGTCAACGTGGAACTTGTACGGCGAACCTGCGATTCAATATTGGGAGTTGGATATGATCTAACGTTCTAGATTAATGTTGCATCACCTCATACTATCATTAGGAACGGTATAGTCAAGCCAATCTAGTCGCTGATAATTTTTTTTTTTTTCTCTTACTTGATACTGTGATTTCTTTTATGTGTGAGAAAGTGGCAAATAAGCTTGCGGTTCATCTGATGTTAAGTGATAACCGCCGCCAATGGACATTTAATTTACCTTTAATAAAGTGAGCCCCAGTTACCTCACTCACCAGACAGATTCCCGCTAGTAGAGACTAGCTTAATGTCTTTAACTGGGGGTATACGTCCCTATACCCACTTATTTTCCTTTTTTTCGATGTCTATTTCTTAAAATTGGTCCGGGGGAAAAAAGGTAAATGTTAATGAAGAAGATTAACCTAACGACTTACCCTGGACATGCTCTCCGTTATACTTGACGTACAGCTCGTGGACGCCTTCCTCTCGAGGGTCGTACTTGATGCTGACGGTGCCATCCCTGTTGTCCTCGATGACTGGCTGGTCAATGTGGCCGCTCGGCATTCTGACTTCCGCTGAAAAGATGAGATCTGATCAAAGAGAAGTTCATAGAAGAATAACGCTGTCTATGTAATGTAAAAATTGGACTGCAGCTCTTGAAGTGTGGTTATATGGATTGTTGTGGTATATATGGATAAGTTGACGTTACAATCAACGATCTATTAAGAAATTAGTATTCCATCAAAAAATGGGTAACCACATGCTTACTATTAACACCATTTGAAACACTTGAAGAAGGGCTACTGCTCTTAAGCAATTTAAGACGATGCTGATTCCGGAGCCCGAATTCCAAAAAGTTTGTCAACGTATCTGCAAACCCTCGGGTGTAGCAGAAGCCTAGAGGCGGTATTCACTTAACATCAGGTGAACCGTCTGCTCGTTTGGCAACTTATCACATAAAAAAAATAGCTTGCAGATCTTAGTTAATTAACTTGCTCACATTATTCCGAAGGCTCTAACAGTGCAGGTGTAAAATATTTTTATTGAACGAAATATTATTTTAAAATATAGCTTATATATTAATTAAGACGAACAAGTTAAGACGAACAGAAGTACGTGTAACGAATAACGTAATCTACGGACCTTACTAGAACTAGAAAGTTTCACAATCAATAAAGTGGTTTGATATGCGATTTTGCCCTTGGCACTTTTGACGTATATAAGTGGTCTTTATTTGTTACACCCAGACAAACCTTTCCTCGTGTCGATGTGGAAAATTGTGACGAAGTTCAGGGGCGTGTAACTGAGCCCGAGGCCGGTCTTGTTGAACGCGATCCTGTGTGCTTCGGCGAAGACTATAGGCGCCACCTCCTTGTCGATTTCAGACACTGAGAAGTACTTTAGACGCTGGTCTAGGTACAGGGTTGCCACCTCGCTCCAGTCGCTCTCCTTGTCGTTGCAACCAACGATCGAATTCCACAGGCCGCTCATAAACGCCATTTATCTCAACGTCACGCGTAACTCTAGTGCTTATCACAGAACGGGCGTTTTTTGGGCGTTCGCTGTGAGTTCGTTTTGTGCAGTGTGCCTTTTATATCTTCAGCATTTTGACAACGTTCCACGCGTGTTTGCCCTAGCCTAGTTGGACGCGCAGACAGACGTTTGATAGGGCTTTTGGTGAAATATAGCAAACGTTCATTACACCAGTGTACCGGTAGGAGACAACTTTTTGAGCATATGAAGGCTAGCGTAAGTAATGACGACTGATCAGATAAATTGAGTTTAATAAAAGTAGCGTGGATTTGGAGATATGATTAATTTTAGATAAATCAAAAAATTCTTTATAATTACTTCAAAAATGCTCCTTGCCGATGGCATGGTAGCAATTTTAATCATGTCTCTTATTCCATCTCATCTCGTCTCATTAAATTGATTTATAGGCACTTACTAAATTTCTGTTTGTTTCCAATACATTTGTAAAATACATTAGTGACAAAAAACTCCTAACTTAATTGATGTAAGTTGAAAATCTGAGTTTTTCTAATTTTGAACTCAAAATTAGGTTGTTTATAACAACATGCGTAGTGTGACAATAAAAACTAAAGTGGAAATGTTTACAAAACTTGAAAAATAAATCACACACTTTTGTGTAACATTTCTTGAATTAACTTGATCTGAAATCGAAAGGATGATCATATGACGCAATCGATGCAATATTACTCAGGTTAAAAGTTAAACAAACTATCCATATGAAACAGACCTCTTAAAACCTCTGGTTGAACATGTTAAATTGATAACAAAAAATAAAAAAATCCTACAACACTATTGGAATTGCTACATAACTCTCAAGAGAAACCGAAACTTAAATCACCCTTCAATCAACGAGGTAAATCAGGGATAAATCAACAGAGTCGTGACAATTTTATTTCTGTATCAAACATTAACGAAAATCCGTATGCATCTCAACACGTGACACCCTCAAAAGTGGCGACAGGAAACATTTATTAAATGCGGACTCCGTTAGCGCTCAACGGCAGCAGGCGCCGCGGTCTTAATAAATTTCCAATGCGATAGTTGTGACGCTAGAAAGAGGATCGTAAAAATACCTTTGCACTCCGATCCTCCTAACCCAACTTTAAATTAATACAGATGGACGGGTTGTATGTATGTAACTTTATACTATGACGTCATCGGATTATTCCCGAACCATTTTTATACGATTATGAACAGATGACACACCGAAGCGGGCATTAAACGCGACAGCTTTTACGATTTTTTTTATTGCGAATGATTTTTTAACGATAGCGGCGTCGGTGGGCGTGGTCGCGAAAATATATTTAATAGAACAACGTTCATCCGTAATGTTTGAACGGTCTTCCGAGTGGTCGTGGTACTCGCTTAGTCAAGGCCTTTCTTGCAGTAGGAGCTACTATTTATGTATGCAGGGCCGCGCAATGGTGTTCACTGTTGCACGAATGGGCAGGTCCGTCCGGGTGAGTACCACGACCTCACAGAAGATCGGCGTAAAATAGAAGTGTTACACTTCTGCGCTTCGTCTGGTGATTGAGGTAGCCGGGGCCGACTTCGATTAAAAGGTGGCAACGCTTCTGCAACCCTACGGGTGTTGCAAATGTCCATGGACGGTGGTTATCACTTAACATCGGGTGAATTAAGATCGTTTGCCACTGTGTCACATTAAAAATAATGTAATGTTAACTAATAACAACAATGATCGATGAACTATGTAATTACCAATAATCTCAGTGGCGTAGTTCATAAACTATTTATTGGTTTCGGCACTGGGGGCTATAGGTTTGATTACCACACGGGACATGTTTTTGTGTGACTCACAGGTAATTGTTCCAGATCTGGGTGTTTGTTCTCGAGGAGGGAGCTAGGAAAAGGGCAGGAGAAAGAAGAATAGTTAGTTTAATTAAATCATGTCAATCTCTGTTTTGGATCAAGTCAAAATTACAGAGCATATAATTTTTCCCCTTACACATTTGCAAACCTTTGTAAACATTTGTTCCCTTGACAATTATAATTATTTAAACATGCTTACTACCCACTTGGCCAAATGTGCTTGATAAAACACGTTTTATTAGACTACCGACGCGACGACCACAGCGAACAAAACAAAGATATATACCAATATTTTGACGTCTGCTTTTACAGGCTAAGCTCCAAAGTAAAAAACATGGCCGTCAACTCAACGCCCCGACTCCGCTTGATACGCGCCATTAATTTCGCGCCTCCAAATTTGAATTTCGAATAATATTTACGATTTATTTTCGTCGGAAGTCGCGGCTGAACGCTAATAAGGTATCGTTATTTTTAAAACTTTTCCGCGTGCCAAGAATTTACCAATTTAACTTTTACGATGAAATCCTCACGTATGTTTACTATTTTATTAAAATGATATCGAGTCTAATTTTCAATAGAATTTTCGCTATATGAGATAAACCTAAATTTGTTTCGATTTTGTCGTCATAGTTTACAATGATCTATAGAAAGTCTAGTCCTTTCTTTACAACTGACTTCAAAAAAGGAGGTTCGGCCTGTGTTTCACCTCAGAACTGCGTCATTTATGAACAGATTAAAAAAATATTTTTGCATTTGGTGTGATCTTATATTAATTTAATTGAATTTGGACCTTAGATTCCAAATCAAGGAACAACGGACATCAGTGAACTCTCCAAATCGAATAGAAAATGTATAGTGAGTGACATAATTGAATTTGGTTCTGTTTGTTTTTTAGTAAAAATGTACCTACTGATAGAACGAAGGTTACATTACTACTGCCGACAACGGACGCCAGAACCCATATACGTCGACGATCATAATAAAAATTAAATTATTAGTTTTTCTACATGACCAGCCGCTGTTCAAATGAAAATTCAAATATCTTTATTCAACATAGGAGCATTACACTCACTTATTGATAGTCAAAATACTACCACCGGTTCCGAAAAGAAAGCCACTGTACTGAGAAGAACCGGCGAAAGAAACTCAACGGGCAACTCAACGGGCGTTATAATTCTCGCGGAAGTGAACATCATGATACAAACGAATGTCTAAAAACCTTATGGTATCCAGAAATGTTTCATAGAGGATATCGAAAACATAGGATAAGGTACTGTTTAACGTTACAAGATGAAGTAGACCTAATTGTCTTTGTTACCTGTCTGCGTTAAAAACTGAACTTCAATGGACGAAAGTCAAGTGGCTTTAGGTGGGAAATTTGTCTTAGGTAAGATTTTTGAGATTAATGATGAAGTGGATCAATTAACGCTCAGGTGTGCAATTCAAAGAGTAATACAAAGATTTCATATAGCCCCATTTTCTATGTAACAGATATGCCTGAAATCTAGATGCAAGACAAAAGTGGCTTATTGCGAATGTTTACTGTTCATTTATTAAGTACCGTGTGTGTCCTATAGTCTTTGCTGTTACGGTTGAAGTATCACGGCCCACAGAAGATAGGTGTGAGGAGGAAATGTCATACCTCTGCCTTTCGTCTGGTGAGCGAGGTAACTGGAGCCGACTTTTTAAACGTTTTCAACTCATCTGCAAGGCATCGGTTGTTGAAGTTGTGTTGTGAGCCACCAGCCCGTTTGGCGCCTTCTCACACAACAAGAATGAATGTTCAAAGGGTTTCAAACCATTGCAATGGTTCCTGGTTTGAAAGTAAATTTAAGGCTGGAACTAAATTTAAAAAGCACTTGTCCTCACTTCCTAGTACTTTATTTAGAATCTAGTTGCGATAGCTTTTTGATTTCATACCGGCATCGAAACCATCAAATCACGCATGGTTGTATGGTGACTTCGTTGGTGGTTTCGTAACAAAACTACATTCTTTGTATTACCCCGGCTCATAAGAACCTTCCCAAATAACCTCCAAGTCCGTTCAGCCGACGAGACTACAAGGGAATGGACACACCGAAAAACATTTGCATTTGTCATATTTATGTAGATATGTAAAATTATAGAATGGCAAACATGATGATAAATCAAACGGGGGGACGGAACAAGAACGTCTAGTAACTGGAACGGCTCTAAATCATGTGAATTCTTTTTTCGCCCGTGCGGCTAGACACCGCGTGACGTCGTACCGCCGAACCGTTCAGCGGAACATCAAAGCACCCGAAATATCCATGTACTCGCTTATGACTTAACCGACGGTCGTCAATACGTTGTCGGTGTGACAGCCTCAACTGAGACACCAATAACTCTAATCGGAACGTTCCAAATTCATTTTTCTATTCCTCATTTTGTTTGGTGGCCTGTCTAATAGAACCATTTCGAGTGATTTGCATATTAAAACCTTGGAACCTTTATTAAGCAGATTGCGCGCACGTAGGAGTTTGAGATTTGGCTTGGTCAAGTTTCTATAGAGAAGAAGGACGGAATTCTAAAATGTTTATAAAATAACTTTACAAATGTTATAAATATAGGTAGTAAATAAAATAAAACATCCCGTGTGGGAGGCACCAGTTAATGTTTATGTCAAAAATCCGGCACAAAAAAGTGCAACAGAATTGTCATTGAAATTCGAATTGTACCCCTCCTTTTCGTTGACAAACTTAGAAGCTTCAAATTAATACTTTCCGAGGCACCCAGATAGTTGACGAGACCTGACCATTTTGAAAAAAAAAAACGAGGAAACAACAACAAATCTGATACATTCTATCGTGTTATTCATCACATGGTACCTCCTTAGTCGATTTCTATCACGACAGATCACGGCAATGACGACCAATCATTCGTTTCGTGCCTTGTGACGGTAGACATGCCGGAGCTGTCAGTTGGGAGTAATTAATGCCGTCATCAGCACCGCGCTGACATCTGGCGGCTTCCGTGGGGCTTTTCGGCGACTGGCACTCGCTTGGCACGGCTCTCGGCGTCGGTATGCATCGATTGATTAATCTGTGGGCGTAATCGACTAACTGCTCTCGTGTTATTGCGACGATAATTTGTCGACGTGCTCAATGGAGTTCGTGCTGACGAGTTGGGTGACCTCTGTGTACGAACTCAGTGCACACATCGCTCTATCCCGCGGCACAGGAAGTTCGTGCAGAACGAACACCAACCACCACACTTTGGGTCCGTTATTGCACGTTTGTTGAACTTTCCGCGGATTAGGAATTATGTCTTAATTTTTTTTATGGGTCAAAAGCGGCAAACGAGCAGGAGGCTCACCTGATGGAAAGTGATCAATAATTAATATTATATTAATTATTGATCACTTATAATAATAATAATATTTATATTTATAATGGAGTAGTTATAATATACAAAATCAGTTTTTTTTTGAAAACGTGTCGTGATCTATTTTTCCTTCGGTCGCGAGGCGTCGCCAGAGATCGACCAAAATTGACCTCGCGATCGTCTTGTCCTGTGTCTGTGTTTCATAGAAACTGGCAAATGAGCTAGCGGTTCACGTGATCATAAATGATGACAGATACCTTTTCCACCTCTAAGGGATCATGCCAATGAATACTCTACACCGGTGGCCTGTATTGCAACAGACGCTGTTCCGTGGTTTAACCACATTAGTATCAAATACCAACTGTATTCCTTTGCGAATAAGTATCTTGTACTAATCTAGTACAATGTTTATGGTTAGATCATTGTAATGACTGTCGACGAGATAGACTTTGTTAAACGTATATTAGCGAAAAACATGACTGGTCAGCTGATTACTGACATATGCATGACTTTCTTTAAGTCATCCTATGTCGCCAACTTCGTTGTATTGGAGATCATGTCGGTTTTTTTCCGTTGATTTCCAATAACAGGAAACCGCTCCTTCTCCAACTCCAATCTTTAAAGATAGTCTTTAAAAGCAAAGGAGTAAATTTCAGTAGGTAGAGTTCTAGACTTGCAAATACAAAATTGTAACACCAACTTTATCTTCCTCTAGCTAATTTTTACTTCTCTGCCTTTTTAGCATTCATGTTCATTTTAATATCACAATAATTTATTTGTTTTGTTAAGGCCAAAGGAAAGTTTGAATCAACGGATTAATCATAACCCAGCATACTCAACAAAAGCATTCATAATAAAAAAAATTATATATTAGAGCGTTTGCGAGCGAAACCTCTCGGCGTCTGTAAGTCACTGTCTAAAAGCTTAGGCATTTTACCTCTTCCCGGATCAAATTAAAGCAGTTTTTTTTCTGTTTATAACGATATTCTGTGCCTAATTAAACAAATTAGGGTTGCTGGCTGTTAAAGATCGTAAATATTTAATGTGAGTAGTAGTGAATACGCACAGTCGAAGGATGAAGTCAGTGAAACTGTCAGTTAACTTACACTGGGGCCGTTTAGTAGAACTTTGTAATAAAGTAAAGTATCAGCCAATACATGTCCCACTGCTGGGTAAAGGCCTACTCTGTACAGAAGGTATTGGGATTATTTAACAAATGAATATTTTCTATCGTTCAGGCGGGCTTGAAAACGCGAACTGATTAACGTTTAGCAAACTGTTATGTCCAACTTACTTCTGTGTCTTACATTAGTGTTAGTGACGTTATAGACAAGCTCTTATACCTACTAACTTGACTGAGGCAGACGTGCAGCAGTTTATGACATCTTTAGAGAGAAGGTGGCAGGCTGACAAGGGCTTCAGCTATTACCCTCGATAATGAACATCTACAATCACCGCGAGACTTCTGTAATTTATCTAACGTTACAGAACTTTAACAAATTTAAACTCGTCTACATCACGTCTATTCTCTGTGAGACCGCGGTACTTCTCCTGACGAGTCTGCCAGTTCGTGCAACTGCTTGTGTACTCAAAACGTATTATACGGTTAACCTCATCACCTTACATCGGGCACAGTTACGAAAGAGACCGCAAACGGGATTGCAATATGCGAACTGCATTTTTAGGGTTCCGTACCGAAAAGGTAATACGATCCTATTACTAAGACTCCGCTGTCTCTGTCTGTATCTCATGAACCGTGATAGTTAGACAATTGAAATTTTCACAGATGATGTATTTCTGTTGCTGCTATAAGTACAAATACAACAAACAAAATAAAAAAAAATATTTAAGTGGGCGCTCCCATACAACAGAAAAGATTTTTGTCGTTGTTATAGATAACTACTTGTTATAGATGACTACGTCTGCGTAGAATAGGCTGAAGGCGTAACATTCAGATAGAAAGACGGATATATATAAAATATATATATAAATTATAGCCTATGTCTTATTCTGATGTATAAGCTATATTATTGTAAAGTTTCATTAAAATCCATTCAGTAGTATTTGCGTGAAAGAGTAACAAACATCCATCCATACATACAAACTTTCGCCTTTATAATATTAGTAAGGATTGTATGAAACGCACCGTGCGCGGGTCCGACTCGCACTTGGCCGGTTCTTTATTCTTATTTTGAAACGAAACTTTAGGGTCTAACAGACCTAATATTTAATTGTAATACCTTGTCACCAAATCACTCGCCACTTGCTATCGGGTGGAGATTTAAAAAAAAACGTCTTATTAGAAGCCTTAGGACTTTTAAGGCTTTTCTTTGGAGGCAGACGAGCTGGCGGGGTGCTTGTATGTACTCACCGTCGCCATGAACACTCATAACACCACAGGAGTCACAAATGCGTTGCCAGTTAATGCATTCACATTAATTTCTTCAGATGACTCGGTAACGCATTTGCTAAACTATTGGCGCCGGGGGTAGCGGGTTCGATTCACACACGGGACAGGTGTTCGTGTGACTCACAGATAATTGTTCTGGATCTGGGTGTTTCTTTCCCAAGGTGGGTTGACGTCATGCAGGCGGTCGGTCGAAAAAAAATATAAAAAAATCATATCCAAAACCGTTTACAACATGACTCACATGCTGAGTCCACCTAGGTGTGTAAAGGGTGGTAGAATGATAATGATTAACTTCTATTAGGGATGTCGAAAGTGAAGAAATATATCGATATTTTCAGTTTAGGACCCGTTGTCCAAAAAAGCAAAAAAAGGTACGTCAAGTTTAAACATTTCACATCTACGGACACTGCCTGATTATAATTTGAGAAAATATCGTTTTTGATATGATTTCGATGAATGTTTTATTTCGATATATTGGATCCAAATATATCGGCTAAGAATATCGATATTTAAAATGAAAAATATCGATAGATAGATATTTTGTCTACATCCGTAACCTCCATATGGGTTACCGACTTACGAGCTGATCGTTATTCGTAACTAAAAAGTAAATAATATATACTTGGTTCGTGGCGATATTTCGCGATCGAAAAGCAAACGATGTCAAAGGATTTACGATTCCACTAAAATTGGACTCAAATTGCACTAAAATTATATTATAGATTTAACGACGCATTCCTCAGATCTGCATCAATAATTTAGCTTTCAATGTATGCCTCAATACTTTGCAATCAATTTGCGCATCTTTTGTTGTGCATTCTTGTGAATTTAATGCTTCCAAATATTTGCATATGCAATTAAATATGATGCACATATAATAATATTTTGAAGATATGTGAAGTCCGCCAATCCGCAGTGGGGCCGCGTGGTGGACTATGCCTAATACTCTGTACAGAGGAGGCCTTTGCCTAGCAATGGGACATATACAGCGTTTCCTTACAACCGCGACAATAAATGAACACACATATAGAGGTTAACTTTTTAAAATTGTATAAAGCATTTACATTCTTTAAACATCAATATTTACCGAGTTATTAAATTTTACAAAACAAATATTTTTAAAACACCCTTACCCAGAAAACTGTAACGTAAAGTTCATTTGTAAAGGTCACAAAGCATATGAATGGGTTGAATGAATTAAAAAGAGATAAAACATACTGTCAGAAGGAGAGACTTGTAATGTGACGTTTTGGCAACGAATGAAAAAGTCTCTGAATGTATGAATCAGTAAGTTCTAGTTGTAAAGGTGTTACAAATTTTGTTTCTTTTTTATTCAATTACTTTGTTTGAAAAATATATTTTTTTAATTATGGACTTTTTTAACGTTTTATATTTTTTTATGATTATTGGCAAGCAGCGTTAGACGTGTGTTCATTTATTGTCGCGGTTGTAACGACACGCTGTATAGGCTGCTACTTTATACTTTAATGTAAATTAACGTTATTTTCAGCAGCCATTTCTATTTAAATAGGGCCACGCAACAGCTTCTATTGTTAAGTATAGGTATGAACATCCGGGGAAATACCGGCGTGATGTGGAAGTATTACACTTTCGTGTTTCGTCTAGTGAGGTAACCGCGGCAAACTTTTTTAATGTTTCACAACGCATTTTGTTAGTGTTGTAGAAGTACGCGTGCACCGGAAATCTCTTAAAATCAGATGAACTGCCTGCTCGCTTACGAATTTTCCACATAATAACAAACAAGTCTGATTCGAGCGAGAAGGGTTCCGTACCATCTAATATATAAAATTCTCGTGTCACGGTGTTTTAATTGAACTCCTCCGAAACGGCTCGACCGATTTCCGTAAAATTTTGTGTGCATATCGGCCAATGTTAAGGGCGTTATAAATAAATGTTAAAGATGGTCCACCCCAAACATTTTTTTAATTTATATGGCAAAACAACGTTTGCCGGGTCAGCTAGTTATCTATAAAAACGGCAAAAAAATCATATCTATTGTATGGGAGCCCCATTTAAATATTTTATTATTCTGTTTTTTAGTATTTGTTGTTATAGCCGCAACAGAAATACATCATCTGAGAAAATTTCAACTGTTTAACTATCACGGTTCATTAAACACAAGCTGGCAACAGACGGACGGACAGACAGACAGCGGAGTAGTACTAAGAAGTAGTAGGATCCCGTTTTACGCTTTGTGTACAGAACCCTAAAGAAGGAATAAACACAATAGCTCATAGCTTTCGTACATCTTCTTAATCTTGAAAAAAATACTGTTAATTGTTTTAATTTACGCGTAAATAGTTTGTATTAATTAATGGAAGAGGGACGCGCTCGGCCACGAGGCAATGGGGAGGATCCCTGGCACGGGAATAAAGAGATCTAATTGGAGCGGCTTCGTGCATCTCCGGGCAATTAATTTATCCAGCACGACCTATATTTCATAATAATGTCACCGCAGTCCGAATTATTTTAGTGAGTCTGTTGCAGCGATGCAACGCGCGAATCGGAATGTTGACCTATTCTATAAATGAGGACCTTCAGCTCGGCGGGGTCCATTGAAATGAAAGGAAGGTCGAATTGGACGTGTGGCAGTGGTAGGGCCACGCAACAGTGGCGTTGCACGAATGGGCAGCTCCGTCCTTATGTATTACACCTACCACGATTTCTCCTCACGCCCCGGGACTGGTAGACAATGCCAATAGGCATTAAGTCCGCCCTTTGTAACCTTCTTTTAAGGTGTTTCAATAAAGAATAAAAGAAATTAAAAATTAAATAACCTACCACAACCTCACGGAAGAGGGGCGTGATGCGGAAGTGTTACACATCTGCGTTTCGTCTTGTGAGTGGCGCTGCCGGAACCACTTTATTACACGGCGGCAACACATCTGCGACCCCACGGGTCTTGCAAATGTCCACGGGCGGCGGTTATCACTTAACATCAGGTGAACCGCCAGCTAGTTTGCCACCGCGAACCTCCGTGGTGTGGCCACGGACAGCTTCTGCTGACGCACGTCCGGGGAAGAGGATGACGAGGAGTTGGCGATGAGGGTAGAAGAAGGGGCGCGTGGAGTGAGGCTGAAGCACGCCACAGCCAAGTGGATCGTCTCAAACGCCGAGAACAGACTCACCGATATGTCTCTCACCATCAAGCCCAGCAAGTGAGTTTAGATTGAGCATTACAGTTTGCTTTGAAGCTTATACACGCTTCTGCATGTCGAGATATATAATAAGATTTTCTTATGTTCTCGAAAATCCCCCAGAAGTACCCCGAAGTCCTCAGAGAGGTCTGGCGTGAACCGAATATACTTTCGCGTTAGACTTCCCTTTCTTGGGTTTGATACTGCCCAATAGTAGTTCTTCCTTGCTTAATCTGTGTCCGTAAAACGCTCTACAAACAGTACAGGATTAACTCGTATTACAGTAGACGTAATTTCTTGAAAAATAACAAAACCTCGTGTTTTTGGACGTGCTAATGTGTTGAAATTATGTTACTCAAACAAAAAACGTCTTAATTGACTGAATGATTGATTGATAGATTACTGAATGAAACTATTTTTTTACGCTTGTATCGCGTTTATTTTTTAATTTTAGTTTTTTCTTGCCTGTCCTGTTACTATACACTGAAAAGGGTCCGAAACGTCTGGAACTAAAATTATAAATAAACGTGATACTTCAGAAATGCTTCCATTTAGTAATAAAGAAATTGTCATGAGTGATGGATTGATGGTATATTCCACCAATACACTGCAAAGCAGTATCTTATGTTGCGATATCTTATGTTCAATATTGTTTTTTGCTAAGCTGAGATTTGAATCAACTGCAACAAAAAATTGCCATTATAGCTTGCTCTTCGTTCTTTACCTTCTTCTTTGTATTTAGTAAACCTTTTTCCGAAATTACGCCAATTGATTACAGCGGAATGGAATCGTTTCTAACACAGGACAAAATTATATTGAGAGATTGAATGTAATTTGCGTTCGTGTTTGAGAGTCACGTGGCCTTCACAACCAGGACATGCCATTCTAACAATCTTATAATTTTTAACGACCGAATACTTTGATTATACTGTAACTTGAATTTAATTACATATAAATCTAATTACAGAATCTAATTAATATATATCGGCCTCATCGAATGGCAAAGTGTACGATGGATACGTAAATAAATAAATTTGAAATTTTTAAACAAAAATTATTACACATCTGCGTCGTGATAGTAATACTCAATGGTCAACAATGTATTATTTACTCAATTATAGATAGGTAGATATGAAACTAGCACCGAAACTGACACACTCAAATTACGCCAATTGGTGGAATTAGATTGCAATTCTATAGACTTCTATCTCTTTCCGTACCGTACGTTCTATATCATCTGTCACATTCAAATATATTTCATACTGGCAGTGCCCCGCGACTTCGTCCGCGTGCAATTTAAAACTTCTAAAATAAAAGTAGCCTAAGTTACTCCTTATGACATCAGCTATCTGCCAGTTAAAGTCAAAATCGGTCCAGCCGTTTCAGATATTAGCCGGAACAAACTGACAAACAGACAAAAATTGTAAAAAATGTTATTTTGGTTTAAGTACCGTGTATACATCCATATGTATTTAGTAAAAAGCGGTTATTTTAATATTACAAACAGACACTCCAATTTTATTTATCTGTATAGATAATGTAAGACGGAACAATTTTTAAACGCCGCGCGGTATGGACATGCGTGGACATGCGCGGTATGGACATCTTTATGATACATCATTATATTTACTGCAATAACTACTTTCTGTACCATGTATGGGACCTTCGAGAAAGCGACGCCATTGATTACTTTAACAAACACTGTCCATTTAAGTATTAACAACACAAAGAAACATTGGTTCGCATCCACCACGAGTACTATCAATGGAATCCTAAATTTAATGTATATAATTAGCCGAAATATCGCTCCCGATATTCGAGCCCGTAAATAGAACACAACTTATAATAATAATTAGAATTTATTCGAATCGCTCTCGTTGCTGTTTCGTCTGAAACGCGTTCGGTAAACATAACTACATATAACGACGGACGTCGCGTAATCCCGCTGTCACCAACGGATAACGGCTCTAAATTTCGTTTTTAATATTTTTCACAGAATCAGCCCGACCGTTATTTTCGTCTCGACGTCCATAGATGTTAGTTATCGCTTCCCGCCGATACAATATGATTGCGTGACTCCAATTCCTCTCTGTAGTTAACATTTACATTAATTTTATAATTAACTACGTACTTATTCATCAAGATCAAACAAATACTAAAATCTGACCATAAATACAGACAGACAGAAACACATTATACTTAGATTTACAATGATTTAAGAATGGAAGGATTACTTCAAAAAGAAAGATCAGCTAAACACGCTGAAATCCGTTAAGAGGCAATAAATATAATAACATCGAAAATATTTGCGTGCTAAAAACCTTACATATTGCGTATTAAATTTATCAGAAACTTGTAACACCAGAACACGCGGTAGTGCGTCAGAACAATTTGTATTGCTTGTATATACGAATCGCAACGACTGGAGCTGGGTCTATTTCTATTAAATTTCGTAAAATATTGGAACGAATATTATTTTAAAGCGACGTGTTATTCGATTTATAAAAACGTACGGAATACCCACGTCTAGACGTTGACGTTGGCTTTTTTTATATTTTTTTTATTGAGGTTCGTCCAACGATTGGTCTCCTGGCCAGTAATTTGTCTCGCGAGAAAGCTTTTTGCTAGCAAAAGAGGTACACTTGTAAATAAGGCATTCAAAATCTTTGGAAGTGGAGCCTATTACATTCCAAAGATAACAATACAAGTAACTATTGGTGGATTTTTTTTAAACTTGCAGACACTTTGAGTTAAAACACCTCTGCATCGAGTCCCCATTTAACCTTTACTCAGTCTCTAAAAATCTCCAACACTATATATTATTTCTCAAAGGTTTTGTCGCCATAGCTTCAATAATTCTTCGTGAAAATAATTGTATGATGAATTAAGTCATCATCCTAAAATATTTTTTCGCCGCTAGTGACATAAAAAAGTAAAAAAGTTAGTGTTTGCATATAAATATCTTATTTTAATTTTCTTACAAAGAATAAAGCTGTTACGGCAACACCAAACATCACTTCCGCATAGATCGGGGCCCCCAGAGACACACAATTTCTGCCTCGTCACTTATATCTTCAACGGCTCAAGTGCAACATCAATAATTGTCAGAAATTATATCATCTACGAGCGACCTATTTTTCATTGATACATCCACTTCTCTACAAAAGCCATCTATCGATAATTTCTTTAAATGAAAGATATCTAAGTAGACTGAAGACGTTGTTCTTCAAAATATGAATTTTATTGATAAATACTTATATGTACATTATTATATTACCGTTTTGTACATGGCTGACAACTTTACACGGGTTAACTAGTAACTTACAAATGCGAAACAAACATATAAACGTCACTAATACAGTGTACACGGTAGCATAATTATGTATCTTCGAACATAATTTTCGATTTTAATTTGGAACTTGGATGAAATTTGATAAATCTCTTTTATCTGTCAGGAATTAATGTAGAAGGTACTTTTAAGTATATACACAAATAAAAACATACTTTCGTAACTGTTGACAAATATTCATTACAGCTCAGAATGCACGATATAGGTACCTGTCTTATCTCATAGTTATTATAAATAAATCGGTCTTTAAAAAAAATGGGTATAGTTCATAATGCATCGTTCATTGCAGTGGTTACATTATTCGTGATATATTTATTATTATAACAGCCACAATCTAAAACAATGAAGACCTAAATAAAAGACAACGTCTATTCATTACAAACCTCAACAGCTTTTAAAGATTACAAAACGGCCAATAAAATTTACGGCGTCGTGATAATTTAAAGTTTTAAGAACAACGGATTTAAAATATAAACAACTTAATTTATATAACTGATTGTTTCGATTAAATTTAGCAATGAAATAGATAAAATTAGAGCGCTTTAGTCGGGTTCAATGTGTTGTTTTTGTCGCTTAGCTTTTATAATTCCGATGTTATTATTGTACATCGTATAAACAATAGATTCCATACATTCTTCGTAAAACATATGGGGGTTGGTTAAGTGCCTTGTGGAACCCCAAATATCCATTGTAATGTGTTGATATTATCTTTGCAAAGTAAAAACACAAATTGAAAGACCAATTCGTAGTTACTTGCTTAGTAAATTTTTCGTTATTACTTCCGCAAATAATATTTATATTCATTATATGTCAGTATTACTTCGAACCGGGTACTTTCCTTCTGCCAATAAGAAATGGTGAAACTGTTGCAGTGAAACGTTATAAAATCATTACACGACGATTAAAATAGGCACACTCAATTATATTTCCCCGGGAAATGTTGTGATACGCAAGCGACACAGCTGTTCTTGCTATACAGGCGGATTCTAGCTCCTCAATCTTATTTACTAAAAGGTAAACTAAAAGCTTACATACGTCTTACTGCTGGACAATGGCCTCTTCCCTACCTTCATAGGGTATTAGAGCATAGCCCTCGACACGAATCGACCTTCTGTGTTTTGGCAGACTTCATATTTATATTCAAATACAATTTTCTTATTATTTCGAAAATATGCAAATTTCATCGCGATGTTTTCCTTCTACACTGATCACGTGATATGTCAGCACTTAAAATTAATGCACTAAAATAAAAATTTCATTGGTGCCGGAACCGGAGTTCAAAGGGGTAGAGTATATTGAATTAAAAGCAAGCACCTGGACTAGCTGTCACGGTTTATTTGATAAATAAACTTAAAATGACCACCTAAAGAACCAGCAACGAATTAGAAATGGCGTCATATTCTTTCGCTGTAAAGTTCAGAGCGATTTAAATGGGCACAAGGGTGCGAGGTCACTATGTGTGACCAGTACAGCAACACGTGGCAATCGGACTATCCTTGTTGGCAATCAAAATAATGTCATCGCTACGCGAGGCCAGCCGTCTCTATAATTCAGCGGGACATGGCGTGGCAGCAGTGGCCCTGGAAGTCACTCAGAGGCAAGCGGACATATTAGAAGGCGGTCCAAAGTCAGGCTATAAATCAATGTTAGCTATAACTAT